CGCCGCGCCTCGCCATGTCGCTGCACGGGAAGCGGAAGGAGATCTACAAGTACGAGGCGCCCTGGACCGTGTATGCCATGAACTGGAGCGTCCGGCCCGACAAGCGCTTCCGCCTGGCGCTGGGCAGCTTCGTGGAGGAGTACAACAACAAGGTGGGCTGGGTCCGCACCGCGGAGACGGGGGGTGGAGGGGACCTCGGGAGCCGCCTAGTGCAGGAGCGGCCCCGGCTACATCATCCTGGCCCAGGCTGTGCCAAGCGGGGCCTTAAATGCCTCCAAGGATGGAGAGAGTCCACAGTTCCTCTGGTAGCCTGTTCAGTGCTTCACTGCCCTCCTAGTGAGAGAGTCTTTCTAATATCCAAACTCAACTTCCCTTGCTGCGGTTTGAGACCAGAAGCTGCTGCTTGTGGCTCCAGAGCAAGGCTGGAGGCTCCTGGGAAAAGGCCTAGGTGTTAAAGGAGCCTCCCGACTTGGGAGGCAGCAGGGCCATGCTGCTTCAAGGGGCTTGGGTGGAAAGGCTCTGGTGTGGCACATGCCCGGCTGTGGGCTTCCCAGTGCACTGCCGCACCGCCCGGGCAGCCTTGGCAAGCTGTGGAGCACAACTCTTGTGACTCCCCCTTGCAGGCTTTTGCAAGATTTCACTCCAGTGGGAAAGCTTCGTGCAGGGATAAAAGTTTTCACGTGGGCAGGTCCCTTGTTGACTTTCCAGGTCTCCTTCTGCTCCCTTGGCTTCCTCAGGGAAGTGAGTTGTCACTGTCTGTCCCTGGCAGGGTGGGCTGCTCCTCCTGTTTATCCACACTGAATACAAGTCGGAAGTCTCGTCTTCCAGGCTCACCCTAGCTAATCACTTCTGCAGGCCCTGGTTCAGTCCACTCCGTGCAGACCCCAGGAGATCCCCATCATACAGGGGAAATGTGATGCTAGAGATGAAATAAAGGAATAAATATTATAGAGCAGGGCTGTACAAATTCTGAGCCCCCGAGGGCTGCATCGCTGGGGGCCACAGGCTGCACTGAGCATGACATGCATCTAGATGCTCTTCACCTCCCCACCACTCCCACTGTACTGCAAGCCCACCACAGGCAGTGTCCCACCCCCACAACCCCAGTACCACTCAAGCATGGGCACATGACTTCACCTCCCTTTCCCTCCCCTGTTCCACCGCATGGGTGATTTCCCCAGCTGTTGCTTATGCTCAATCCCATTTTGGTTGGGGTCCTGATCCTCCCACCCTCTTCTTCCCTGCATAGCCCAGGACCTGCTTTCAGCACTGCTCCACTCACTGGCAGCTAAACAGTGGAGGTGGGGAGGGAACTTGGAGACAGATGGACAGCCCTGTTACAGACTATGTTGAATATGGTGTATAGACTGTGAATTCTTCAGTCATGGTGTGGCTTCACTTAAAATCATTAAGTTATTGTCTGTACAGCATTATATAAAGTACTTTCTAAGTTAATTTATTTATTGATGGTTAATTTACTTCTGACCAGCACAGAGTTTAGTTGACAGTTTGGCTTCATGATGTTCTTTTCCTACAAGTGGGGAGTTTTATGGGGGGGAGATCCTCTGGGAGCAGAGTAATTTTTAATTAATAATTTTCAAAATAGCCTATGGTGCTACCATCTTCCATTAGTTCCTGTTTTGCTTAAATATCCCATTTGTTGTGAAAGAACCATGTAAGCAGGATAAAACAAATACACTGAGTGGTGTCAAATGGACTGAAAGTGAAATTTTCCTTTTTTTTCCTTTCAATTATAGTAGTAGGCGTTACTTGTAACAACCAGTGGTACACTTTCAGGCAGAAGTATTTAGGTTTCACTGTTTACCAGCATATGGTGGGAGGGTAAAAACCAACTTGTGTGTCACTGTTTGACAGAAGCTAGTGAAGCTTAACAGGGCTGCTTAATTGCTCATTGTTGGGTCCAGAGAAGTTAGTTTCTGGCTGTCTGTCACCATAACTAATGTAGTTCCAGTTGGAACATACTTTCATTTAAAACCCTATGCGATCAAAAATTCTTTTCCTGATCTGAAAATTTTGAGCCTCATTTCATTCTAAAGGTGAATTCTTACTCATTTAAAAAGGCTTAAATAAAACCTATTTTGGAAGGGCAAAAAAATGCTTTTCATTTTGAAAACTCTGTGCAGTGGATAATTTGACTCTGAATGTTAAAACTTTACAGGACAAAGGATAAACTGATGCCCTCCTTGAAAGATGAGTATAGCGGTAGCCACTAAAAGCCAACTTTTACCAAGTTTCCAGGCTGTGGCACCTGAGATACCAGTATTTCTGTGATAAGTTGACTGATGCTGACTGTTGGACTCTCTCTGCTGTACCAACACTGTCCTCACCTGATATGTATTCACTGACTAGATGCTGTTGTGTCATACCTTCTTGGTGTCAAACCTGAGAGGTTACAATGGTGATGCATTTCATTAAGAGATCAAGGCATTGATTAAAAAGTCAGGCTATGTATGCTATGAGGTTGCAGTCTATTGTAAATATTGTTACTGTAATTAGAAGACCTAATATAATAAATCCCAGCAGTTATTGGATTGCTTAAGAGTACTGGCCACATTTTGTGGTCTGGCTGCTGAGAAGTACCAAAAATAAGTTTGTGGTTTGGGGAACAAAGCTGGTGTTATGCCATCTCTATTCCCTAAGACTGGGATCCTCCAAGGGTTCTTGTAGCCTGTAGTAGTCCCATCTGTCTGCCTTTAGGCTGTTCTGCCTTTCAGATTTGAAGTAGTTTTAAAGCATTCAAACTACATGCTGTCCTGCCCTTGCTCCTTACATCTATGGTAGCTGCACACAGAGGCAGTGTTAGGCTGTTTAAATCACTGCTGTCCTATGGACATTCTGCAGGTGGCTTGTTTATACTTGAACTGGGCCAAGGATGTGTCGTCTTGTTTTCATTCCCTGTAAGTGCTCGGTAGTGGGAGGCCTACACAGTGTTTCAGGAATTAAAAATCAAGAGTATGAAGGTGGGGCTCAAGTCAGTTTATCATAGTATCAAAAATGGAGATACATGTTTTATGATTCAGTTCAGTTTCTAAAACACCTGAAACAAGACTTTCATATCGAACATTTGGTTGTTCCACAAATTGCATCACAGGTCAATAAGTCTGGTACTGTTTAAATGGTATATGGATTTTTCCACGTGAATAGTATTAATAATACAATCATCCAAGTAAAAATATTACTGATTTAATAGAGGGGATTGTATTTCTCTTAAAATAGAAATGTAAATTTTCTTAAGATTATTGATACTGACTGTCTACTTGGAGATAGAGCAGAGGGGTACATATTTCTGCACTCCTAGATAGAACCTAGTTGTATTCAGGATATTTGAATTCCATCACTGAGATCCTTGTGAATGACCCACCACAGTTTTGTTTATTTTTAATGTTGCAGAGGGTATCAACATTTTTTAGAAAAAAAAGAAGTCGGGTAGTTCCCACTAGAACAGTGATTCTTAGCCAAAATGCCATGGCATGTTGGAAGGGATGCCTTGAGATCCTTTCAAGGGTGCCACACAATGTTAGCACTGATAGGTATACACACACAATTCACAAGACAAACCCAGAGATTTCAAATAGTAATCCATAGTGTTAAAAATATTTTGACCAGTTGTAGTCTTTCTGAGGTCTTTGCAACGCACAAAATTGCTCTATTAATCTTTTCCATAGTCAAAAAATGTGTAAAAACTAAGAGCTGGAATTTTCTGAGAGGTGCCTTAAATCTAACATGGGATGCTTTGAATCTCAAATGGTTGAAAACCAGTGCCCTAGATTCTTCATTGTCCTGAGATTCAAATACTCTCCAACTATATAGGGGCATACTAGTTGGAAAGTAGCCCTTTTAAATCTAGTTCATATCTATTCATGGGTATGATATAATCCCTACGGATCATGTAAGACCTTAATTTAAGTCTAATTTGCAATAGTTTGGTAATGTTGGACTGTAAAGTTTGGTCACTGTTTTGATACCTGAGTTTCAGGGATAAGTAGAAATGTTTTAAAGAATAGCTTTATGGAGCAGGTGTCCTTTTACATTAAATGCCAGTTAAGTGTTAGTTGCATAATGAACTCCAAAATATTCCTATTTAGAGGAACAATGAAAATGTCAATGGCTTCTTATTCATTTTATGTATCTTTGAATAATATATATTATGTAAATCTTTAAGGGCTTCTTAGAAGCTTCAAAACAGTATTTCTCAATTCTACTACATTTCTTTTGGAAAATACGGACTTCCTTGTGCCATATTTCTAATGCATAATTTTCAATTTTGATGTTTAAAGCATTTTATATTTTTAAGGACAGAACTTTCCCCAAAAAAACTAATATTACCACAGTATATCCTTTTAAATCTTTACATTTCTCCTGTTAAGAAGGGATTCCTTGCCAGAGCTTGAATCACCCTGACAAGTTACAAAAATAAAACAATATTGTAATCCCTTATCCTTGACAACCATCAGACTCTAGCTCTCCTTCCAAACTTAACTAATAACTTCCTCCCCATGCAGTTTTAACTTAATCAAACCCTACATAAATGCCAACATTTGTGCCACAAATGGCATGGGCAGCCTAGGTATTTAGCACATGGCTGATTAGGGAAGGGATAGGCAGCAGATGGAGCAGGGAACAGAAGGCAGAGCAGGAGATTAAAGGAAGGAGATCAGAGTGGCATTCAGGGAGGATACAAGGATAATTTTTGGTGCACCTGTCAAAAAGGTTGGCCTCCATTGACTTGTGATGCTTTTGCTAATTATGTTACTTGCATTATAGCCTGGGAAAAGAAGTGCTTTCTTACGTGGAAGTCCCAAAAATATTTAGGACTCCAGATCAGCAACTAAAGTTCAGTTTGAAAAATAATAGAAAGTGGGGGGGGGGGGGGGTCTTCTGCCAATTGGAGTAATGAGACTCTCAGTCTGCACCAAATAATCTTCTAGACCACTGATGCTTAACCTTTTGGCCCCATGGGCCAGGTGAGTGGTGTCAGGCCTGTCTGCAGGCTAGATTGGGCCGGGGGGGGGAGGGAGGAACTTGACTGGCTGGCGCTGACCCCTTCCACTCCCTTTGCACTGGGATTGGGTCTCGGGCCCAGAACTGCCCTCATCAACCCCCTGTGCACTGGGATTGGGCCTTGGGAGGC